GATCGAGAATACGACTTTGACTGATAGTAATAAGGGGGGAGGAGGAGCGGGTGGAGAAGGAGGGGGGGAGGGGGAGGAGGAGGAGGAGGAGGAGGAGGAGGAGGAGGAGGAGGAGGAGGAGGAGGAGGAGGAGGAGGAGGAGAAGAAGAAGGAGGAGGAAATGGAAGAAGAAGAAGAAGAAGAAGAAGAAATAGGAGGAAGAAAAAATAAATATAAGTATAAGAATAAAATAAAAAGAAACAGAAGAGGACGACGAAGGAAAGGAAATAATAAAGGAAAAGAGGAAGAAGAAAAAGAAAAAAAAACGAAGACGAAGAACAAACGAAACAGAAAAAGAAGAAGAAGAAGAAGGAAGAGAAGAAGAAAACGAAGCCTAGAAGACCAAACAACACAGAAGACGACGAACCACTACCTGCCTCGAGATGCCCCGCTCATCTAGCACAGAACGCATATCGAACACATTAGCATTAGCAGCCCGCCTCCCGTCCGTCCGCGGTTTCTAACGCTATCGCCGCCGCGTTGCCGCCGATTCGCCGCCGCCGCTACTTCGCCGCCGCCGCCGGTCCGAAGCCGGCTGGAGCTTGGCAGAGGTCCATCCCAAAAGAGGAGAGGATGCGTGGGAGTGGGCGGGGGTACGGGATTAGGGGGCGATCCATATCCTACAGAACCTAAACAGCTGATGGCGATCGTCCTGCTTGTCCTCATTCTCCTTCTCCTGTCTTTTTCTGTTTCGTTTTTTTCTTCTCTTGTTCGTCATCTTCTTAAACATCCTCTTCCTCCTCCTCTTCTTCGTCCTAGTCCCCGTCCTCCTCCTCCTGATCATCATCATCTTCCTTATCATCGTCATCTTTTTCTTTTATTTTCCTTTTCTTCTTCTTCTTCTTCTTCTTCTTCTTCTTCTTCTTTTTCTTCTTCCTCCTCCTCCTCCTCTCCCTCCTCTTCGGCCTCGACCTTCTCCTCCTCCTCCTCTCCCTCCTCCTCGGCCTCGACCTTCTCGACCTTCTCCTCCTCCTCCTCTCCCTCCTCTTCGGCCTCCTCCCCCTCTCGCTATCCCTTTCCCTCCTACTTCCATACATACCTCCCCCTCCCCCTCCCCTTCCCCTCCCCGGCACAGCGTAAACCCAAGCGTGACAGGCATAAGAATCAATATGTAATGATTGGTCATCGTGACTTTCGCTCCCGTCTGCCGTTGTTCGTCCTCGTCCTCTCTTGCCTCTTCCCTTTCCTCTTCCCCGTCCTCTTAACTTCTCCTTCTCTCTCTCGTTTCTTCCCTTTCCTCTTCCCCGTCCTCTTAACTTACTCTTTCTCTTCCCTTTCCTCTTCCCCCATTCTCTCCCGTTCCCTCCTCTCTCACTTCATCCATTTCGTATTACTTCTCTCTTTCCTGACCCCTTCTTCCAATTTCTCTTTCTCCTCTCACTGTTTCATCTTCTCTCTCTCTCTCTCTCTCTCTCTCTCTCTCTCTCTCTCTCTCTCTCTCTCTCTCTCTCTCTCTCTCTCTCTCTCTCTCTCTGTCTCTCTCTCTCTCTGTCTCTCTCTCTCTCTGTCTCTCTCTCTCTCTCTCTCCCCCCTCTCTCTCTCCATTCTCCATTTCTTCTTTTTCGCCCTCTTTTCTCCTTTCCCCTCTCGCCCCACCCCATCCCTTTCCTCTCTCACACCGCTCCTTTCTCTTTTCCCCTCTCACTCCCCGCCCTTTCCCCCTTCCTTCCTTTCCCCTCTCTCCGTACTTCCTCTCACCCCATCCTTCCCTTCTCCTTTCCCCTCTCACACCGATCCTTTATCCTTTCCCCACTCGCTCCCCGCTCTTCCGTCTCTCCACTCCCTTCCTCTTCACTCCCCTCCCTTCCTCCCTCGATCCCCTCCCTTCCCCTTCACTCCCCTCCCTTCCCCCTCACTCCCCTCCCTTTCCCCTCACTCCCCTCCCTTCTCCCTCGACCCCCTCCCTTCCTCCCCTCACTCCCCTCCCTTCCTCCCCTCATTCCCCTCCCTTCTCCCTCGATCCCCTCCCTTCCTCCCCTCACTCCCCTCCCTTCCCCTCCCCCCTCCCCTTAACTTGCAGGCCAATCTGGACTTTTCACGATCCCTCGCAGATTCGCTCAGCGTTGAAGCCTTTGTTGCTCTAACTGTATCATCTCTCTCCGCGACATAAAATGTGAGGAAAGAGACTGAGACAGAGGGGGGAGAGGAAGGGAGGAAGGGAAGGGAGAGAGAGAGAGAGGGGTAAGAGGGAGAGGGAGGGGGGGAGGCAGGGAGAAAGAGAGGGGGTGAGACGGAGGGAGGAAGGGAGTGGGTGAGTGAGAGAGAGAGAGAGAGAGAGAGAGAGAGAGAGAGAGAGAGAGAGAGAGAGAGAGAGAGAGAGAGAGAGAGAGAGAGAGAGAGAGAGCGAGAGAGAGAGAGAGAGAGAGAGAGAGAGAGAGAGAGAGAGAGAGAGAGAGAGAGAGAGAGAGAGAGAGAGAGAGAGAGAGAGGCGAGGAAGATATAAAATAAATAAATTAAAAAAAATAGATAAATAAATAAATGAATAAATCACGAGAGAAAAAAATACCGAATCCTACCATCACTCCTACCAATCACAACTCCCTCCCCCCTCCCCCCTCCCCCCCACCACTCCCGCAAAACCGAGGGGCAACCGCAGGCGTGTGGAGTTACGCGGCCGCCCCCTCTGATGTGTACACGCCCGGGACAGTTGTGACGTCATGCGGTCAGCTGGTCGAGGCGCATGCAAAGAAGCTCCTCCGTTGTTTTCTCGCGTCGGCGGCGGAGGTCACGCAGTATCCTTCGCAGCCTTGTCAACACATGGAGGGGGGGGGGGTTGTGTATGTCTGAGGGTATGATGTGTGAGGGGGGGGGGAGAGGGGCATTGTGTGTATGTCTAAGGGTATGAGGTGGGAGTCTGTGGGTTGTAGATATAGTCCCTGCTTCTGTCGCTGTGATTAATGCGTGTGTGAATGGACATGTGTCTGCCTGTTATGTCTGTATGTCTGTCTGTTTTGTGTGTGTGTGTGTGTGTGTGTGTGTGTGTGTGTGTGTGTGTGTGTGTGTGTGTGTGTGTGTGTGTGTGTGTGTGTGTTTATTTGCCTGTCTCCTACTTTCCTTCACTCTCTTTCTCCCACTTCCCTTCCCTCTCTTTCTGCCTTTCCTCCCCGTCCTACCGTCCCTCTCCCTCCCTCACTCTCCCTCTCCCTCCCTCCCTCACTCTCCCTCCTCCCTCCCTCTCTCTTCCCTCCCTTCCCTTCCCAGATTATTCCCCAGTAATCAAAAGCAATCTAACCCATACAGGAACTCTGGAATAAAAGTTACAAAATAAATGTTATCCACAGGCAGGTAGCAATCATGGCGACTGGGGAAGCGCAGTCGACCTCAATACGGAATATTCGCTGTGTGTGTGTGTGTGTGTGTGTGTGTGTGTGTGTGTGTGTGTGTGTGTGAATGGGTCAGTGAGTGAGTGAGTGAGTGAGTGAATATATGTGTGAGTGTGAAAGTGTGTGTGTGTGTGTGTGTGTGTGTGTGTGTGTGTGTGTGTGTGTGTGTGTGTGTGTGTGTGTGTGTGTGTGTGTGTGTGTGTGTGTGTGAATGGGTCAGTGAGTGAGTGAATGAGGAAGTGAGTGAATATATATGTGAGTGTGTGTGAGTGAAAGTGTGTGTGTGTGTGCGTGGTTTTGTTAGCATGCCTATTTGCTTTCGTGCGCATGTGCCGGCAACTGCAAGTAAGTCTGAATAAATTTGTACATATATGGATGAGTGGGGGACAAGGGGAGAGGGGCAAAGGAGACGGAGGAGAAATTGAATTGGGAAAGAGGGAAGGGAGAAGGGAGAAGGGGGAGGGGGAAGGAGAATGAGGAAGAGAAAGGGGGAAGGGAGTAGGGGGAAGGAAGGAGGGCGGGAAAGAGGGAAAGGTGGGAAGGGGAAGAGGAAGGGTAAGGGAGGAGGAAGCAGGAAGAAGGGGAAGAGGAAGGGGAGGAGGTAGAAGTAGAAAGAATGAAGAAGGAAGACTGTGAAGGGGTAGGGGGGAAGGCAGGAAGAAGGAGGAAGGGGGTAGGGGGTAAGGGGTAGGGAGAAGCAAGAGGAAGGGGGAGGGGGGGACGAATGATAAAATGGCGAGCAAAAACAGCCCCATCATCTCACGCAAGCGGAGTCATGTCGCCAGCTGCGCCGCCGGACTTGTGTGCTCCTGCTCCTCCTCCTCCTCCTCTTCCTCCTCTTTCTCTTATTCTCCTTCCTTTTTCTTTTCTTCATCTTCCTTCTCCCTTTCACCTTCTTTTCGTCTTCATCTTGTTCCTTCCTTCGTCCCCCTTCCTCTTTTTCCTCTCCCTGCCCCTCCTCCTTTCCTTCTCCTTGCTACTACTCGTTATTTACGCATTTCTCCTCCACTTCAATTCTTCCTGTTCCTCCCCTTCTCTCCCTGCTGCTCCCTTTTTTACTCCTCCTGCTCCTCCTCTTTCTCTACTCTTTAATCCCTCCTCCTACTCGTCCTCCCTACTTCTACTGCTCCCCATCCCCTTCTTCTTCTTCTTCTTCTTCTTCTTCTTCTTCTTCTTCTTCTTCTTCTTCTTCTTCTTCTTCTTCTTCTTCTTCTCCTGTTCCTCGTGCAGAAGTACTGCTGGTGGAAGAGGAGGAGGGGGATACGAGTCAAGAAATGGGAAGAAGAGAGGGAAGGAGAGGAGTAAGTTGAAAATAGAGGAGAAAGTGAAGGAAGCAATGGAACCTTGGATGAAAGGAAGGGAGGAAGGGAGAAACAAATGAAAGAAGAGGGAGAAGGAGAAGGAGGAGGAGGAGAGAGAGAAGAAAAAAGAAAAGAGAGAGAGAAAGAAAAGGAAAGGAAAAGAAAAAAAAAAAACGGCAGAATCCCTCTTCGCTGCTCTTTCAAAATCCCACCGAAAGAGAGATGCCAAGATCCAAGAGAAAAAGCAACAATCTCCAGCTTTTGAAAACTTGAATGCAAGCTGATCTCAGTGCCTCGCTTAAGCTTAGTCGCTGTCACGGTACGTTGCAGAAATCCTTTATTTAATCTGCCTTCCGTCGTGGCCTCGGGGACTCACGCTCGTCTCTGTGCTTGTGCCTGCGAATACGAGCGTGCGGATTCGCCTCTACTCTCATTGCCTTCCGTGCTTTGAGGGGGTCGGTCCGAGGAATAAAAAAAAACGTACATACAATACGAAAAAATAACATGTGTACATGCGTTTCCACGCACATAAACAAAGGGCATAAATACACGCGCACACACACACACACACACACACACACACACACACACACACACACACACACACACACCACTACTACAACAACAACAACAACAACAACTGCAAAAACTAGTACTATTACTACAACAACTACTACTACTACACCATCTCTTGCCCTTTCGGGAACCTGTACACGAGACCGCATCACCGTAAGTATGGTTACGTACAAATAAGCACACATGCATACATACGCACGTACAGATACATATTAACTCTCACCATAGCATAAACGTATACATACACAGAGTTATACAAGGCACTTATACACCATCAGGTCATGTCATATTCAACCTTTTGATTACGTAATTTATTATTATCTTATTATTATTATTATTATTATTATTATTATTATTATTATTACTATTATCATTATTACTACCTTTCTTTATTCACATGCCTCTGATCTCCGCTCTTCGTCTAGGCTTATTTCTAAATCTATGTCTTGCTGCTTCTCCTCTTCTTCATTCTCTCTTCTTCCCCCTTTTTTAATTCTTTGGTTTTCGTCTTCCTCCTCCTCGTCTCCTTCTCCTCCTCCTCTCCTCCTTCTCCTTCTCCTTCTCCTTCACTTCCTCCTCCTCCCCTCTTCCTCTTCCTCTTCCTCCTCCCCTCAGCCCCCCTCCTCTTCCTCCTTATCCCTTCAACCATCCCCCTCCTCCTCCTCCCTTCAACCCCCCTCCTCTTCCTCCCACCCTTCCTCCTCACCTCCTCCTCCCCTCTTCCTCTTCCTCTTCTTCTTCTTCTTCTTCTTCTTCTTCTTCTTCTTTTTCTTCCTCTTCTTCTCCTCCTCCTCCTCCTCCCACTTCCCGACTAAACCATTCATCGTCCTCTCTCTCCTAAACCCCCTCCCCTACCATATCAACCCCCTCCCCCCTTGAGCGCCCCCTTTCCCATGACTCCCCCTCCCCCACCCCCCCCTCGAGGATTTAATGGCCTCAATTCTCTTGCTCGTTATCTGTCACGCCTTGCTCATAAACCACCGCAACAAGGTCATCATGATGCATGCCCTCTCTCTCTCTCTCTCTCTCTCTCTCTCTCTCTCTCTCTCTCTCTCTCTCTCTCTCTCTCTCTCTCTCTCTCTCTTCTCTCTCTCTCTCTCTCTCTCTCTCTCTCTCTCTCTCTCTCTCTCTCTCTCTCTCTCTCTCTCTCTCTCTCTCTCTCTCTCTCTCTCTCTCTTCTTCTTTTCTGTCTGTCTCCCCTTTCTCTACCTCTATATCATGATATAACAAAAATTATCGCGATTATCGGCGATAACAATAATGATGGTGATTTGCGAATATCAATAATAACAGGGACAGCAACTACAACGATAACAATAATAAATAACAATGGCAATAACAACAACAATACTACTACTACCACCACCATTACTACTTACTACTGCCACTACTACTATCAACAATAACAATAATCATAATCCTAACTATAATAATAGTAGTAGTAGTAGTAGTAGTAGTAGTAGTAGTTATAGTAATAATAATAATAGTAATAATAATGATAAAGACAATAATAATAATAATAATAATAATAATAATAATAATAATAATAATAATAATGATAAAAATAATTATAACAACAATAACAATAACGATGATAATGATAATGATTATAATAATAATAGTAGTACTATTAGCAGTAATAGTGTTAGTGTTAGTAGTAGTAGTAGTAATAGTAGTTGTTGTAGTTGTAGTTGTAGTAGTAACAACAACAACAACAACAACAACAACAACAACGATGATGATGATGATGGTGATGGTGATGATGATGATGAAGATGATGATGATGATGATGATGATGATGATGATGATGATGATGATGATGATGATGATGATGATAGTAGTAGTAGTAGTAATAGTAATAGTAACAGTAATAATAATAATAATATTGACAATAATAATAACAATACTTATGATAATAAAAAGCAATAACTATTATAATCACTATCATTATCAATACCATTATCACAACCATCATCATTACTACTATCACCACAATCATTATCATCATAACAATAACGTTCATGTGAAACAATATCAACACTTATCCCAATGACAGTAATAACTTGCCATAAGTACGTTTGCGCCTCCTATTAATTGTACTAATAATGAAAATATCAGTGATCAGTGATAATTTTCCTTTCAAATGCCATTTCATCTTCACAGTGACTGACACAAAGAATACAATTCAATGGAAGAAAGAAAGAAAGAGGAGGAGGAGGAGGAGGAGGAGGAGGAGGAGGAGGAGGAGGAGGAGGGGGAAGGAGAGAAACAGGAGTAGGGGTAGGAGTGGAAGTAGGAGGAGGGAGAGGAGGAGAAGTAGGGGGAGTACGAAGGAGGAAAGAGAGAGGGAGAGAGAGGAGGGAAACAGTAAGCAGGAGGAGGAATGTGGGAATGGAGAAAGGATGGGGGAGGGGGAGGAGAGTAAGCGAGAGGGAGGAGGGAGGAATGGAAGAAGAAAGGATGGGAGAAGGAGGGAGAAGGAGGGAGGGGGGGGAGGGGAGGACAGGAAGCTGCACATCAGGTCGGGGCGCAGTCTGTCGCCGGCAGCAGAAGCAGGAGAGCAGGTGCGTCTCGCCCCTCCCTTTCTCTCCTCATTCCTTTTTTCTGCCATTCTTCTTCTTCTTCTTCTTCTTCTTCTTCTTCTTCTTCTTCTTCTTCTTCTTCTTCTTCTCTCTCGGTCTTTCGGTCTTTTCCCTTCCTTTGTTTCTTCTTTCCTCCATTCACTCCTTGCCTCCCGTCATCTCTTTTTCTTTCACACTCTTTCTCTTTCCATCTACCTCCTCTCCTTTCTCCCCTTGTCTCTCTCTCTTTCCTTTCTTCTCTTCCTCTCTCCCTCCCCTCCCTTCTTCCCCATCCTCATCCCCTCCTCTCCTTCCCTCCCAAACTCCCTCCCTCCTTCTTCTTCCTCTCCCCTTCCTTCCCTTCCCTCCCCTCCCCTCCCCTCCCCTCCCTTCCCTCCCCTCCCCTCCCCTCCTTCCCTCCCTCGGGTACCATGGTA